TGTCGGTCTTTCGCATTGATCCTTTCTCGTCGAACAAACTAAGCGGAACAGGAGACATTTCGTAGTCGAAGCAAGATTTACTCAACTCTTTCCTTCCACGCATAGCCACAGACAGACGTTGAAATAATAGAGAGGTATCAACAGTGACAGTGGAAGACATAGCTTTTTGAGATTGTGTCCGTGCAAAGTCCAAATTCTTGATCTTGTACAATTTTGACAGCGACACCTTTTCATAAGTGCGTCCAACTATATGACACATTGCTTGTGTGCCACGCTCGAAAGCCATATGACAATTTATTTCCACACCACCAACAACTCCAGTTGACAGCGAAATTAATTCCTCGCGGACTTTGAATGGTTCATGCCCCTTCAACCAAGTAACGAATGAGGCAATGTCCTTTGCGTCCCATGCTTTTCGTCCTTTGCCCAAATCAACATGCTGCTCACTGTTTCTCGTCTCCAGGTCACAATACTCTTCCAATGCTTGCATCACATGCACGGCGCAAGGCATCCCCAGCAAATATCGAGACACGACACTCCGCGTAACACCTCTTCCGTGTTTCAAGTCAGTCCCAAAAAACCTATTCGATGTCTGCTCGATTGTCATGTCAGATTCCGGACCAAGCCTTATCCGACCTGTGGATAGTGAAATAACCCTGCGTGGCAAACTGGTGAAACTCTTGAGGATCCATGATGTCCTGTAGAAGTACCATATCCTGCAAATAAATCTGAGCTGCTTTTGCATATTGAAAATGTCCCGCGGCATGAAACAATGGCAACATTCTTCGAACGCCATCAAGATGAAGGTCCCAGTTTCCAAGACGTTCTGCTTCAATAAAACGCAAGACAATAAGCACGGCTTCAATGTACTGCACCCACAACTTGGCTGTTGGGCCGTTATTTTTCAATTGCTTCAACTTTGTATAAAACAAATCAGACATTTTCTTCAGGTCCTTATCAGAGTCACTGTCCCCTAGCTTGAGAGGATTTTTCTGCCAGACACGCATCAATGATGCAATAACCCCTTTGATCTCGCCTTTTTCTTCGATTGAATCACAAATTACGATGCCTAAAGCTGTAAACGTCAAAATGTGTGCTCGGACTGCTCTTGAATAATTGTGCCCGTCCATCATTTTCTTTATGGATTCACTAGCGTAAGCAAGCTCCCACATAGATTCAAGTCCGCTTCCTCCCATGATAATACCTATTGCTCCCAAAAAAGACATTAACATGTGGAATCCGCCTAGGCGAACAAAAACGTCGGGCAACATTAACTTCGCTATAATATCGCGACATTTCATGTACAACGGCAAGTCGTAAGTTAAGATAGTGGTTTTTTGACCACATTTACGGGTTTCGCTCTTTGCATGCATGATTGATGTATAAATGGTTGTTAGACTAGATGGAACTTCGTTAATGAATTGTTGGCATTGCACCCCCGACCTTTGGAAACTTTCATTTTCCGAACATATCTCCATGAAACCTCGCCATGCTGGTACATTCTCAGGATCAACGTATTTAGCCCACAAATAAGTTGAGTAAGTAGGGGGGAATAGAGGCATATCGACCATGGTCAGTAAATTTGTATCGATGAAAAGTTTCAAGCCCTCTTTTGGCGGCTCGACGTAAGGGAAGATTGGAATTTGTTCTTGCTTTGCAAGGATATTTGCCGAAGGCATCTCAGTAAGTTTTTCGACACTTCCACATTGTGTGATTTCGTGCTCCGGAGTGTAAACCTGTATTCCGTCTAAACAATGGAAAGTCTCCCGTCCGTCCAGGGTCCTGACGTTGTGGTCAGTATTATCAAATACAAATTGTACGAAAGGTTTTTCGATGATCAATCTAGGTGGATTCACTATTGTTGAAGCCTCATACAATTCAATATTGTAGTAAGAAGTGCAAACGCCTAATGCATGCAGAAGATTTATGATGTACTTGGAACCTGTTTTTCTCAGAATCAATGTCCCAATCGACAAGTGGAGGGTGACAAAAACGTACGTGGCTGAATGAATGAAAGTATGCATTGAGATATCATGTCTCGCTTCACAGACTTTGCTTTTTTATCTTCCTCTTCGTCAGCGATAAGGAGAAAGTGCTCAATAAAGAACGAAAAGTGGGGTGGATAATCGGAGGAAAGATCGCTTACAAATTGATTGGACGGTGGGTACTTATCGCTTACAAATTGCTTGCTACGTATCTCTCTGTGCATTATATTTGAGGCCTGAAGCAAAATAACTTGTATCTGCCCTTCTGTGAAAGTTGATGGGTCTGCTGACACATTAAAAACATGATGACTTTTGAAGCATACACGTATATCTTTTCCCCCCATTATACTGCACTCAACTTCCTCACCGTAACGTTTTTTAATGTGATCTGCTACAGTCGTTCTATCTATAGAGTCATCATCCACAAGTTCTACTAACTTCGACAAATAATGAATAACATTTTTGTCTTCTTCAAGAACTTGCCACACAGGTTCTAACAATGAATCGATTCTAGACCAGTTTAGATCATCGATATTTTTTTTTAAACCATACGCATTGAAATGAGACATGCATGTCCGGTGGTATCTGCCTTGTACGCGAATTAAGCAAGAAATGTTCTCTAATCTTTCAACAACGCTAATTCCCAAAGAGTCATTTCTTTCCTTTCCCATTGCAATCAAGTTATCACGCGTCTCTTTTTGTGTGACTGTACAGATTTTTGTTTTCGCATCTTTTATTATACTCAAACCACAAATGAAGCAATTATCAGCGTAATGGAAATCAAGAACCTCATCCCTTGCAGCTACGACATTGTTATTTGGTGCATTCAACGCAAAATACTGAGTATACGTTCCACTGACCGAGTATGAAAGTCTACACTTCTCATGGCAGTCCAGTTTTTCCTTTTTTTCCCAATCCAACCATTTTTGTCTTCCACGCGTTTGCTCTGTGTGATCAGTGTACTAATTCCCTTCTTCCCCACGATCCTGCAATTGCCGCGCGCCATCGGATAACTGCAAATGGCGCAGTTACTATTTTGCTGCATTTTATTCCTATTGAATAACAGAAACAATTTCAGTGAGAATCGGTATCCAGTAAGTGTAATGCAATTTTCGATCCAGTAAGTCTAATTTGTCTGATTTTTGTTATTAATATCAGAACATAGTGCTAATGGAATTCCAAGACATGCTGAATTTTGGACAACATATACTGAATTTGGACTGCACTACTTATTATTAAAAAATACTATACTAACATTGGAAAATGAAAACAAATTTTGTTAAAAAATCCATGGCGGATAACTTTTCGAATTTTAGGTTGGCTTTGTCCTTAATTCCTTGTCTCCAATGAAATTACGGAATAAAATATTTAATTTCAATTCTAAAATGTACACATACTTACCTCACTTATCCAGTCAATCGACAAGCAATTGAAGAGGAATTACTCCACATACTTAAACGCATAAACTTCGAAAATTAGTTCTTTCGTAAAAGTCGGTGAACGCCAAACTGACAAGCGAGCTCAGGGTTCGAAATTCAACTCTACTATTACTGAATAACCGCTACCATATAGTAAGTGATCGTCTGCGTCGTCAACGCGTAGGCGGTGTGGCGGCAGCTTGGTGGTATGCAGGTACGCCGCCTCTGTCCCCGCAAACCCCCTCGCCCACAAGCCATCAGCAAGCTGTAGCGCGAAAACTAAGCAATTTAGCGAAAAATTTGTAGAGACCTTTATTGATGGCCCAAAAATTAGAAAAATTTACGTGTAAAAAAATCCCAGATATCCTCAGCCGTTTCAGCGAAAAAGAGGTTTTTCGGGTTTTTCGCTGATTTACAAAAAACGGCTGGTTTCCGGAAAACCAAATTCATACAACAATATTCGCAATCCTTTATTACACCATTACGCCAGCGGAAATAACTTTGTGGCCATGTTATCACTTTTGTCTCAGTTTCGGCTATTTAACTGGCCTATATGAACAGCCGACTACTGGTAGTTAAGTGATGTTCACGTGAACATCGATGAGTCATTACAGTTTTAGATAGTTATAGTATAGTGGCATTCTTAAGCAATCTCACCTGCCTATTTTAAGAGGCATTGATGGCACGCCACTGATTCCCCTTGAAGTAATTTTTTTCTTGAAGTCTCAGTCATTTCTAAGCAAATCTGATTCGCTGATTTTTCTCAATCCTATTTTTTCGCTTGAAGAAATAAACGCCGTTTCTGTGCATGATAATAACACTATCGTTAACATGACAATATCACAATGCAGAGAAATAGCTTTTTTTAGATGGAAACTGTGTCACACTAAAAAAATCAAGAGATCTACTCTACTCACAAAAGAATACTTTCTATATTGAAAACCGCACTCTATCCCAAAAGCTAAGCCGTAGTCCATAGAAAGCTTCCTTCTTAAAATGGACCCAAAAATCACCTCTTCAAATACTGACATTCAATTTCGAAACACCCTGTATAAAAGTGCTTGAAATATGAATCAGCTGTTTGTGTATTACGAGAGTATTAGATTATGGCGAAATCCGCGAGGAACACGCGAGCGAGCTTTTTGTCTATTTTGTTGCTCTAAAGTAGTTTTAAAAAGGTGTAAAAATCATAGAAGCTTCCGTAAATTTTGTAAATTCTCATAATAAACACAAGCAGCGGCAACTGCGGTGAGCGATCTGTTCGAGAACGATCTCGATCGCTTTGAACGGAATAAATATGCAAGGCGCGGCGACAGTGCGCCCTAACAGAACTGGTAAATTTCATGTATGTTGACTTACATTGCTTACGACTAGGTAGCTCACTGCTTGGTCCAAAATTATCAAAGTAGCTCAACACACTGAAAAGGTTGGCGACCACTGCTCTAGAGCGACAAACTGTTGATTTGAATCTCCCTAAGTGTCCACTTCGGTGGTCGACTACGAGTAGTAAAATTTACTTTCTCTCGCGTTCGTAGAAACGGTATAATTCGAGAACTCAAACTTTCGAGAATGTTTCAGAAAAAAAATGATTTTGCAGCATTCCAATGTCTTCCCAGATGTTGATCTTGCTCAACGTCTTTTTCTTGATGGTGGCATATCATGCTAGACTCGTGGAAGTGACTTCAAGACTGGACTTTCTTTGGAAGCAACAGGCAGAACGGGAATTGAACGATATGGAAGAAACGAGACATAATAATACGCAGCTTTTGAAAAATATTCTACCCGATCATGTGGCACAACATTTTCTTTCTAGTGAAAGAAACAGCGAAGTAAGTACGAGGAAGTTTTTGCAAGCAAAGCATGATTTTTTTTTTTCATTAGAAATACAGGGTCCGTCAGAAAGAACGCATGTTTTTTAAATGAGTAGTACAGTCAAAATAGGTATGGGGAAAATATTTTATTGTATCAAACTACTCAGAATTACATGCCATTTTTTGAGAAAAACAAAATTTACATTCTAAAAACTATGTCGGCCATTCGGCCATATGGCGCCCTTGAGCCGAAATGTAGGGATCATGCCTCTCCCGAAAGGAGCCCATTGCGTCAGCCAGCATCCGTGCAGGAATTTGGGTTACTTCTCTTTTTATTTCCTCCTTCAAATCGACGAGGGTCCGAGGCTTGCTTTGGTAAACTTTTGATTTCAGGTATCCTCATAAAAAAAATCACACGTTGACAGGTCCGGGGATCGCGGGGCCATGGAATATCGCCATGACGTGAAATGAGACGTCCTGGGAATGTTTGCCGAAGAAGTTCCATAGAAGTGCGAGCTGTGTGAGATGTTGCCCCGTCTTGTTAGAACCACACTATTCTGAGACGGACACGTCGACGTCGAAGTTCCGGAAAAAAAGTTGTTCAGCATATGGGTGTCACAGTCACAATAAGGGCCAATAATCATCGTTGGGCATACACCAAACTATAACTTTCGGGGTATTCAGGAGGTGCTCATGCATGGGGGTTCACTGGAGTCCAATGTCGACAATTTTATTTATTGACGTATCCATGTAAATGAAAATGTGTTTCATCGCTCATAAACAACGTCATGTCATTGTTATCCAACTGTTCAATCATGAGCTGTGCAAAATTAACACGTTGTGCATAATCCCCTGACAACAGTTGTTGACAAACTTAGATTTTGTAAGGATGGAACACTAAATCCTTCTTCAAGATGCGACGTACAGAGGACGAGTGGAGCCCTAGGAAACTGTCAAGCAAACGGACGGAATGATTCGGGCTTTGCAGCGTGTCAACTCTCACTCTGTCTACGTTTTCGGGGGTTGTAACAGTACGGTTTCGTCCTGGCGGTGTTTTCTTCATCACATTACATATTGTGTTGAATGCTTCCATCCATCTCAAAATGGTGTTACGGTCTGGTACATTCTGAAAGTTCCGACGTACAGTGAACACACGATGCTCAACGTCCCAAACCTTCTTGCCAACTGAAACGGCTCTTCTCCCACTATCCAACACGCCCTTCCTCACCGACAGGGGACCAGCCCACTCGATGTAGTACCCCTTCGAAGAACATGCATTCTTTCTGACAGTTGGGAGGTCTTTTTACAGGAAACGGGGTATCCGGAAAGTTTTGACTTTCTTTTCTAGAAGCAATTACGTCTGGAATTGAACAGCAGCAAAAACATAAAAAAGAAATCGGAAAAAGTACTCATTATTGATTTGATCGGGAATCTTAAATACGTACTACCCCCTCAATTATTTAGCGCGTAAATAAAACTGAAGTCGCCATTCAATCCAAATACACTACTTTATTAACTTCTTCTTAGATTTGCAATATTTGGAGCTGCCCAGGTCTTTTGGATACTAACGCGATCGTACCTTGTGAAGTAGGAAGCAGGGTCAGGCTTGGCCCACTCCGAGCTTTTCAAAACTGAATATCTTGGTCATTTTAAAGCTTTGGTGTACGAGGTCTGTAAATTAAGTGATGAGACTGATTTTTTTAATTTTTTCATTCAAATATAATTACAATTTAATATTTTCACCCTCAAAACGACTTTCTTCTCAAGCCACACAGCCACAAAGCCGATACTGGAATAGCCTTAAGCTGGTCGATTACAGTCGTTTTAATATTTTCGGCTCTCCCAACATGAGGGCCCTTGAGGTGATTTTTCAATTTCGGGAAGTCACAAGGACTCGGCGAATAATTAGTCTGAGGAACCACAGGAATGTTTTTACTGGCGAGGAACATTATCGTGATGCAATACGCAGTTGTTCTTGATCTGATGAACGGTGATATGAGTCAAATTTAACTCTTTTCCGATCATTCTGACTGTCAACCGACGATCTGACCTGTTCAAAAAATCGCGACAGGCAACCAAATGACTCGAGCGAGTTCAGACTTGTACTGAAGGTGGATCACATGTTCCGATGTCTCTCCTCCAAGCCCAGGGTCTTCAGTGCTACACTTAATTTACATACCTTGTATGTGTTACTAGAATTTTACTGTTTTCTGACCTATACCAGCTTTAAGGACACCCTGAATAGAACGACAAACAAAGAACGATATATATGACATAAAAATTAGTGAGAATGCCTAGCAAAATATGTGTTTTAGGAACTATATGCTCAGTACAGGGAAGAAATCGGTGTACTCTTTGCAAGTATACCAAACTTCACGGACTTTTATTCTGAAGATATCAATAAAGGCGTGGAATGTATTCGCCTTCTGAACGAAATAATTGGTACGTCACTTCCACCGTTACTGTAAGAATTTTCAATAAAAAGATGTATCGATTTCAGCTGATTTCGATGAACTTCTAGATGAAGAGCGGTTCAGTACCATCGAAAAAATAAAAACTATCAGTGCTACCGCAACGTACATGGCTGCATCTGGGTTGAATCCGTCACATAAGGTAAAACCATAACTTTGTTCACAATATTATCCAAAAACTGGTTCCTAGAATAGACCGTTGATAAACAAGAAATAAGAAAATTTGTACTTTACTTAGGACTAGAAAATGGAACCAAGATGTCAAATAAACCGGAAGGTCTGCGACTTCCGTGACTTAAGGTTCAAATTTAGTTTTTATATTAAAACCAAACGCAAATGCACTTCCATGGAGTTAGTTCCAACTCCATTCGACCAATCCGATCCACCGCTTTGCATTTAGTTTGTTTTATGTAAAAACAAGTAACAATATTTGTATGTTCATAGCCATGAACCAGTCTCAACAAACAGTAAGTGGTCCCCCGCAAAAAAACACAATTTAAATTCCATTCAAAGGTTTATTTATATTCAGTTCCAAAAGTGACGAAAGAACTGTCGAGTAAAATTCAAATCCTCGGAAATCCTGGAACCTTCGGAACCCTTATATACTGTGATTGGAAATTCAGTCACCGTTTTTTTTCTCACATCTGGTGCATAAGCTAGCAATTGATACATTACCAGAACAAATTATTTTTCAGTTTCCAAGCAATTTATTACTGGAATAAATTTGCGGTGGTTACGCATCTCCTTTTGTATACACATTCACCATTTTTACTACGAATGCTAATAAACGTGGGTATGTGCATTCACCATTTTTCACACCTCGCTTAACGAATCGCGAATACCTTTAATTTAATAAAAAATTCATTTCATAGCAATCGTGGTTTACCAATGTTTCTATTGCGGTCAATTGTAGTTCTACAACGAATGTTAATACAAGGCTTAAGTTTTACAATTTTTTTAATTAGCCATACTTCTTACTCATATCTAAAACTTATTTTGCAAGAAAAACGTCATTTTATTTTCCGTATATTCTAGGATCTGCGCAATTCTGACAGCCCGGAACATTTGTGTGCCCTGGTAGATTTTGCCATGGAGATGCGCGTCAAACTAGACGAAATCAACAAGGACTCGTTCAATGACTTCGGTCTACGCGTAGGAATTTCGTGCGGACCCCTCGTATGCGGAGTGATCGGAGCAAGAAAGCCAGTTTTTGACGTATGGGGCGACACCGTCAATCTGGCTAGTCGCATGGACTCCACTGGTGTCATGGGGACCATACAGGTGCCAAAGGAAACTGCACAGGTACTTTTTGTTAATATAATAACTGTGAGAATTTTATGAAAGTTCCTCGTATGTGGGGACATCGGCGTCATGAGTATCTTTCAGGTGCCTAAGAAAGCTGTCCAGGTAATTTTATTTTTCATGCCGATTAACTACTCTGATGGCACAAAATTTCGGAAACAAGACATTATTTTTCTTTAAGGTTTCATGGAATCATGGAAGCCCAGGCCACTAATTTTCGTGGATGTGTCTGTCTGCCTGTTTGTTGCTTATCCGATAATCCATGGTCCATCTATAACTCGAAAAATACTTCCGGGTTTTGAGTCAATGCCAAGGAGTGAAAACTTTGTAGGTTGAGAATGTCTTTACAGTGGCAGAGAAGTTATGAGCAGACACTAACAATGTCAGCGCACTCCCAAACATCCTTTTACGATGTTTGCTAATATCTGACAATTACAGGACGGGATGAGACTGAAAATACTTTGATATTATCAGAGCAATAATATTAATCCTGATAAATTACTGTTTAAAATATGGCGAATTTCCAACACAACTGAAGTGTTCTACCATAACTCCTGTCTCTACAGTTTAGAATTCTGAGCTGTATGCGGCCAATAAATGTTCTGCCAGATGTTGAAAAAGTTTTTGAAGAAATTATTTACTAGCAGATCATCGAATTTATTGCGAGAAATAACATTTTAAATAAATGTCAAGCTAGATACAGGAAGAAATACAAATCTGAAACGGCAACACAAATAGTTTTAGAGGACTGGAGGAGATGTATGGATAATCGGAAACATACAGTAACAGTGTTTTTGGACTTCAAAAAGGCGTTTGAGATTATTGACAGGGATAAATTATACTAAGTGACATATAAATCCGAACACCCAGTTTAAATGGTTTAATTTTAATAAAAGTTGGTGAATGTATTTATCTTACTGTAAATAACAAGTGAAAAAATGTTCAACCTCATCAGTTGGACATTCCGGTTTTTATACCTACTGCTTTTTTTAATTCACTAACGCTCTAAAAATGAATATTTCAGCTGCAGTAAAGAATCAACGTTGGCGGATTTTGGTTCTTGACATCCTTTACGATCGGTTACGATGCCTAGAGTACGGAGACCTGTACGATTTCGTCAACTTAGAGAGGTTGATAGGGGCCGTATAGTGGGACTTCGGGAAGCTGGACTTTCTTTTCGCGCAATTGCAGTTAGAGTGCAAAGAACTGTAGACACTGTGGTTAGGTGTTGTCAGGCATGCCTTCGGGAAGGCCGTACGCAAAGAGCAAGGGGTACTGGACGCCGCCGTAGAACAACAGACCGTAAAGATCGCCGCCTAAGATTATTGGCCTTAAGGGACCGTTTCTTCACTACCAGGTCCATTGCAAATGAATGGTTTGCAGAACACGGAAGACCTATTGGCATGCGAAGTGTTTACCGACGAATGAGAAGTTTTGGCTTGTTTTCATACCGGCCACACTGGATCCTCCCTTTAACTCGAGAACACCGACGTAATCGCCTTGAGTGGTGCAGACAACGGTCACTCTGGGATCAGAAATGAAACAGTATTGTCTTTAGTGACGAGTCTCGATTTTGTTTAGGCATGCACGATGGTCGTGCCAGGATTAGAAGGCGACGTGGTGAAAGGAGGAATCCACAGTTTTTTGTTGAAAGACATATTCATCACACTGTTGGAGTTATGGTTTGGGGTGCTATAGCTTATGGTTCCAGGTCACCTTTAATCTTCATCAGAGGTAACATGAACGCGCTGCGTTATATCCACGAAGTTCTAGAATCCCATCTTTTACCCTATCTTGACACCCTGGCAGATCCAACTTTCCAACAAGATAATGCCCGACCACATGTTGCAAGAGTCACAATAGACTTCTTTCAACATAATGATGTCACATTGTTATCATGGCCACCAAGATCTCCCGACTTATCCCCAATTGAGCACGTGTGGGATATGATGGGTAGGAGATTGCTCAATTTGCAACGTCCTCCTCAGACTCTAGAAGCACTACGAGAGGAGTTGGTGGTTGCCTGGAATGAGATACCCCTGGAGGACATTGACCACCTGATCAGAAGCATGCCTAGGCGCGTTGGAGAATGCGTAGCACATCAGGGTGCATCCACACATTATTAAAGGTCAAACGGCTTTAAAGCAGTGCAATCATTTTGAAATTTTTATCATTTACTTATTATGCTTCATTAAGTACTTATACAAAATTTTATTAAAATAAAACCATTTAAACTGGGTGTTCGGATTTATATGTCACTTAGTATACTTACAAAATTGCATCACTACGGATTTAAAGGATCTGTATTCAAAATTCTACAAAACTATATATTTAATTGACAGAAGTCAAAAAAACAAAATTGAATCTACATTTTCAAGATCAAAAAATATTCCTGTTAGTATACCGCAAGGTAGTAAACTAGGTCCATTACTATTTATTTTAGACATTAATGACATTTGTAATATTTTAGATTATTGTAAGCTTCAGATATTTGCAGATGATGCATTAATTTACATATCAGATGAAAATATAGACACTGCTTTAAAAATGCTAGATTATGACTTGACAAAAATCGTAAATTGCTTAAATGTAAATAAACTGAAATTGAATACTTCTAAAACAAAATGTAAGAGGAAATATAGATTTTCATTTACAAAATTGCAATAGTAATATAACTAGCAAATCAATATTTCAGAAAGGATTACTTGAATTTAAGAAACTAAATAATGATATAAAGTCTACTTGTAATTTAAAGATATTAAAAAGAAAATGAAAAGAATATTTCATGGACAATGAAAATTCTGAAAGATGCAAATTTTGATTTTTTTCTGAATATCTGTATGTTATGTAATTGTTTAGTTTTTTAGAAGAATGTAATTGTAGCAATCATTCCAAATAAATCTTAAACAAACAAACAAACAAAAAATGTGTGAACGCATAGGAAACGATCGAGTTCGTTCATACGCAGATTGGATTGAGATGTTCGTAGCTAACTTCTTCCTCAGTGGGGCTAGCTTGTGCCTCAAATAAACCTTATTCATTTTTTAAAGCTGTCACAGTTTCTAATGATCTTAACATATAAAATTTTTTATTTACATCAATGAATCAATGTACCTCACTGCTCTATATTTGTTATTATAAATTTGTGGAGTCTGGTAAATTTGCTGTTGGAGAGGATTGACGGCAGAATTTCATCAAATACTAATTTTATAGATGCTAGGTATGAGAGGGTATGAATTAAAAAAGCGTGGAATAGTAGACGTCAAAGGAAAGGGCTTGATGGAGACCTACTACGTGACAGGAAGGCAGGTGAAACGCCCTCCAAGTTTTCAAAGACAGCCAAGCCATCCTAGCAGCTTGGCAGCTGTCGTATACGCATTAGCACAGACTAGGAGAAAACATACTGTCAACACACGTGAGTATTAAAAAAATTCTTCGTACATATAAATGCAAATTAACGTCTAACATTCAAAATTTGACTTACCAGATCGCGAAGTTAACGATGCTTTTGGCGAAGCTGAATTGTTTATGTTATTCGGACTTTTACCACCTCTGGGGCTGATCGACATACCTAAACAAAGTTTTTCCTCACATCAAACTTTTACGAGGTAAACTGACCAAAAGAGACGTAGTTGAATCCGAATCTCAAGAGTTTTTGACATTGGCCTAAATCGTCGATGACATCAAAAACTTACCTGTCATTACCAGATTTAGTTGCAGATCAGTTTTTATTTACGATATGTCCATTTTTCTTGCTCACGTTGATCTGCAGAATCTCCAACTCTCAAAGCTCCTAATATTGTACAATCGCATGTCATTGGGCTATATGGGAAACTACGAGGGGTGACAGAAAGTAATGAGACTGTTTTTTTATTTAACAAAGTTTTTATTTTTATAAAACATCAATGTATCTTTGAAAAGAAGTTCCCTCGGGAAGTGACACACCGATGGAGACATTGTTCCCAGTTTTTATAGTAGCGCTGACAGTCTTCAACCAGTGTAACATTCAGTATGTATGTTGTCTCTTGGATGTTTTCTAAGGTCTCCAAATGACGCCCTTCTAGGGCATTTTTCAGTTTTGGAAAAAGAGACTGAGATTAGTTGAACAGGGGGGATGAGAAACCATAGCAATGCCTTTTGGGGTCACAAAAAATCCAATATTTGATACGACTAGGTAAGGCCCGTATCGTCAGTCGTCCCTACAATTGTAGGGTTCGTTTATGGCCTCCTTGATTGTCATACTCTTTTCTCTCCTTCAAAAATTTCTAAATTACACTCGTCCCGTGTCAGCGTCAGCGCTCTCCTATTGTTAAGATACGTTTTCCTTTTAAATTGTAGGAAATTTCAGGCTGTTAAAACATGATATAACTCAAAATAGAGCTCTGACACGGAGATGTAGAAAACTATGACAATCAAGGAGGCCATAAAGGCGCCCTACAATTGTAGGGACGACTGACGATACGGGCCTAAAACTTGGTCATTGGCAATTATGTCAAGAAGATCAAGATATTTGGCCCTGACCAATTGTGAGTCTTTCGGCACCATTTTGGCTCAAATCTTTCGCATGTGCAATGTTCAGCCAAAATTTGATGAATGGTGAATCAGTTTAAATTTGAAGGACCACAGTGCGGCGTTGCAGGATCGCTTGCAGAATTGCCAGTCTCACTACTTTTCTGCCACACAATCGTGCGTAGAGAAAACTACCTCAACCGTCCAACATTGACTAGATCAAAATACTTTTTAGCTGGTAGTGCCGTTTTAGGGCGCGCAAGGACACAGCAAAGAGCAGATGGTAGGAGAATTATCAATTATAGTTCCATGAGACTTTCGCAGAGACCAGGAGGATATCCGATCAGAAGAAATACTACCAGGGCTCATCAAAAACAAATGCACGCTAGGTACGTTTTTACTAGAAACTTTTACCTGGATATCTATCAACTGAGAGAGTTATTGACAAATATATACTAAGTGACATATAAATCCGAACACCCAGTTTAAATGGTTTTATTTTAATAAAAGTTGGTGAATGAATTTATCTTACTGTAAATAACAAGTGAAAAAATCTTCAGCCTTATCAGTTGGACATTCCGGTTTTTATACTGCCTTTTTTTAATTCACTAACGAACTAAAACTAAATATTTCAGCCGCAGTAAAGAATCAACGTTGGCGGATTTTGGTTCTTGACATCCTTTACGATCGGTTACGATGCCTAGAGTACGGAGACCTGTACGATTTCGTCAACTTATTGAGTATTGAGGGGGCGGGGCTACTGTGAATGCGAAAAACAAAGTATTATTTTTCATACGCACTTGTCTCTCGTACACATTGAACTCAAGCCGTCTTACAAATTTGGTTTTCCCTGTATAGGGATGAAGTCATAGTAGGTAATGCTACTTATTTTTGAAGCTCGTGTAAATTGCAGCAGTTATGAGTAGTAATTAAAATAGCTTTCAGATCGTCCCAAAGTTTGTTTTTAGATGCTTTTCGAACATTTTTAAGGGTGATCAAATATCTTTGTGGAGAGACAACAATTTTTAGAAATTCAGAAAATTTGCTTTGGTCATCATTATGGACTTCAAACATTTTGTTTCTTTAGCAAGCTTTATACTGACTCATGAAAATTTTGAAAATAGGCATAGGTGGATGTTTGGAAAGTCAGTAAATAGATGCCACTATTTTTTCAGTTTTTTTCTTATCGCACCATCCATAGCGGTTTTAGTGTTTCAACATTTTCAGCCTCCGGAGACACTACCTCGCTTGATAGGCAATGTTGCCTCACAGAAGTCCTAAAATATTTTAATTATACTAAGTGACATATAAATCCGAACACCCAGTTTAAATGGTTTTATTTTCATAAAAGTTGGTGAATGTATTTATCTTACTGTAAATAACAAATGAAAAAATTTTCAGCCTTATCAGTTGGACATTCCGGTTTTTATACTGCTTTTTTTTAATTCACTAACGCTCTAAAAATGAATATTTCAGCCGCAGTACAGAATCAACGTTGGCGGATTTTGGTTCTTGACATCCTTTACGATCGGTTACGATGCCTAGAGTACGGAGACCTGTACGATTTCGTCAACTTAGTGAGTTTGATAGGGGCCGTATAGTGGGACTTTGGGAAGCTGGACTTTCTTTTCGGGCAATTGCAGTTAGAGTGCAAAGAAGTGTAGACACTCTGGTTAGGTGTTGTCAGGCATGGCTTCGAGAAGGCCGTACGCAAAGAGCAAGGGGCACTGGACGCCGCCGTAGAACAACAGACCGTGAAGATCGCCGCCTAAGATTATTGGCCTTAAGGGACCGTTTCTCCACTACCAGGTCCATTGCAAATGAATGGTTTGCAGAACACGGAAGACCTATTGGCATGCGAACTGTTTACCGACGAATGAGAAGTTTTGGCTTGTTTTCATACCGGCCACACTGGGTCCTCCCTTTAACTCGAGAACACCGACGTACTCGCCTTGAGTGGTGCAGACAACGGTCACTCTGGGATCAGGAATGGAACAGTATTGTCTTTAGTGACGAGTCTCGATTTTGTTTAGGCATGCACGATGGTCGTGCCAGGATTAGAAGGCGACATGGTGAAAGGAGGAATCCACAGTTTTTTGTTGAAAGACATGTTCATCACATTGTTGGAGTTATGGTTTGGGGTGCTATAGCTTATGGTTCCAGGTCACCTTTAATCTTTATCAGAGGTAACATGAACGCGCAGCGTTATATCTACGAAGTTCTAGAACCCCATCTTTTACCCTATCTTGACACCCTGGCAGATCCAACTTTCCAACAAGATAATGCCCGACCACATGTTGCAAGAGTCACAATAGACTTCTTTCAACATAATGATGTCACATTGTTACCATGGCCACCACGATCTCCCGACTTATCCCCAATTGAGCACGTGTGGGATATGATGGGTAGGAGATTGCTCAATTTGCAACGTCCTCCTCAGACTCTAGAAGCACTTCGAGAGGAGTTGGTGGTTGCCTGGAATGAGATACCACAGGAGGACATTGACCACCTGACCAGAAGCATGCCTAGGCGCGTTGGATAATGCGTAGCACATCAGGGTGCATCCACACATTATTAAAGGTCAAAGGGCTTTAAAGCAGTGCAATCATTTTGAAATTTTTATCATTTACTTATTATGCTTCATTAAGTACTTATACAAAATTTTGTTAAAATAAAACCATTTAAACTGGGTGTTCGGATTTATATGTCACTTAATATATATGACACATCTTCTGGCTATGCCTGAGCGATCTACAAGGTTCTGCCAAAACAAGGGGCAAACATTCAAGTGAAGATTCCTCGATTATACAGAACAAACAAATATAGATGTAAAAATTATATTTGTTGTCTCTTAATTTGCAAAAGCTGTTTAAATTCCAGTAGCTTTGGTTTGACTGCATGTACGCTTTAAACAGAACCATATGCTCTGTGATCTGCTCGATCTTTGGACCAAGATCCTCTAGGTTATTTCCTATTATGCTATCTAGAGCTATTTATACCAAGAAACTTTACATTTGATTCTCACTAATAAAATTTAATATTTTACAAAATATTTTTCCATGCATCTTGAAAACGAAGAGATTTTCAAATTGTAGGTATCTTGTTTTGGGGATACCATATAGAAATGCAAACAGAAACTTAAGCAACCTGCTTATGATGTAGAACGGTTTCAATCATCAAGATTATATATGGTATTCATTTGAAAACTTCAAACCACGGATTTATCGAAAATCACGAAAAGAAAAAACGCCGAGACACAAAAGATTTGTCAAAACAACTTCACTGTCTTTGATCTTCGGCCCCCAGCGTCATTCCCTTAATGATTTCAAATGTCAAGGAGTACCGAGTAATAGCTTGTTTGAAAGGTATTTCAAACTCCTTCATTTTGACGTTTGATTTTTCAAAATCGGTCGATTGATTTACAAGAAAATAAGATGATTCCTGGGGGCAGAGGGTAAAAGGGGGTGAAGTATTTTTTGGTTAAGAAGTTGTTTCGCTTGACAGGTCTTTTGGCGTGTCTCGGCATTTTTTCTCTTGATCAGCGGTTTTCGACTAATTCGTTGTGGGAAGTTTTCAAGTGAATACCCTGTATGTATAAATCAAAAAAACCGCATCTTCTGGAAAATATGTATGAGACATACCAAACATTATACTAGTGTGTTCAGAAAAAAAAATAATGTATAGAGAAAGAAATTAGAAAAAGTTCGGTATTAATGAAACAACAAGAAATCAGAAATACAAATAATAATGTAAATAGCCGCATAACATATTGTTAACGTTCATGTTTCCTAATCCAGATCCCAACCGAACATGCGTCAACTGTCAGGCTCAGGCACGTACTTGGAGAACATGAAGTCCATGCGATCGATCGACCATGATCCTATTCCAAATAACCATCACAAAATGGCGGTGTCCCAGTCTGCTCCTCACACGCCAGTTTCAGCTACCAGCCATGAAGGGTCCATCTTCAAATCAGTGCCAAGGTTGTTGTCGGAGCCTATCGTGAACAGGTCTGTAACATTTTTTTTTAAGAATCAACATTGCCGGCTACAGGCAGTAAGCAAGTGAGGCGGCTTCCTCAGGGCGTAGTGTAGGGTTACCAGATGGAACGACCAATATCTGAGGAAAATCTAAATAAAAAACGGGATTTTGGGATGTTACGTATAGTCAGGACATAACGGGTGATTTTTTAGGAGGTATAGGATTTGATTTTCAAAAAAAAACACAAAAAATTTGAAAAAAACGTTTAAATCTTTATTTGAGCCGATAGAACGGTCGATATAATTTAATGTTTAAAGATTATTTCATGTAAATGTTGGCCGCGGCTCCGCTCTAGATGGCCCATGCGCAAGGTCCAATTTTGGCACACTCTCTCCAACATATCGGCCGGTATCTCACGAATAAATACTTCAATATTGGCTTCCAGTGCGTCAATTGTTGCTGGTTTATCCCTGTAGACATTAGCCTTAACATGGCCCCCACAAGAAATAGTCCAACCGCGTTAAATCATACGATCTAGGCGGCCAATTGACGGGCCCCAAACGTGAGATAAACTGTTCACCGATTTCGCCTCTCAATAGGGCCATTGTTTCGTGTGCGGTGTGGCATGTGGCACCGTCTTGTTGAAACCACATGTCAGCCAAGTCCAGCTCTTCCATTTTGGTTAAAAAAAAGTTTGTTATCATCGCACGGTAGCGCTCGCCATTCACAGTTACGTTCCGGCCATTGTCGTCTTTGAAGAAGTACGGCCCGATGATGCCACCGGCCCATAATCCACATCAAACAGTGATTTTTTCGGGATGCATTGGTAGCTGTTGCAATGCTTCTGGCTGGTCTTCACTCCAGATGCAGCAATTTTGTTTGTTAACATTCCCATTCAACCAGAAATGAGCTTCGTCGCTGAACACAATTTTTCGATAAAAATGTGGATCTTCCTCCAACTTTGCCAGCGCCCATTCACCAAACTGGAAACGTTGTGGGAGGTCGTGTGGCTTCAATTCTTGCACCAGCTGTATCTTATAAGGTTTTACACCCAAATCCTGTCGCAAAATTTTCCACGTAGAGGAGTAACAGAGGCCCAATTGCTGCGAACGGCGGCGAATCGACATTTCACAGTCATCACTAATACTAGTGGATACAGCCGCAATATTTTCTTCAGTCCTCACTTTACGTCTGCGTTTTGGTGGTTTAATGTCAAATAATGTAAACTGGGTTCGAAATTTAGTCACAAGCTTCCGAATAGCTCCCTCAGTAGGCCGACCAAATTGCCCATAAATTGGAAGCAGTGCTCGATGCACTCTCTTAACCGAGCATGAATTTTGTTAGTAAAATTCAATAATTTGTAAGCGTTGTTCGTTCGTAAGTCGATTCATGGTTAAATTATAGACCAAACTGAACAAGTTTGACAATGACACAAGACACGATTCACGCGTCATCTGTCTAAAACAGTGTTGCCAAAAAGATACTAGCAAAAAAATCACCCATTATAAATATTACGGATTAAAAGGTTATTTTTATTATTCAAATTAAAGTTATTACAACAAAACACCTTTTTGACAATGTATTAATACGTTAACGGAACCTTTCAACATAATTTTCACGAAGTCTGATTAACTTGTGAATTTGTAAAGGGGTCAAGACCCGATGACAATATCTTAAAAAAAAACACTCGAATTTGAAGAGTTTCAAATGATTTGAATTTTGAAAATAATTAGAAAATTCAGAAATTTTGAAAATTTGAAGATTTATAATTTTTGAAAAAACGGAAATTTTGGAAAAATATTGAGAATTAGGAATTTACCTATTTAGCAAAATAGTTACCAATTTACAACAATAAAAGTACAGCAGGCAATAGTGTTTCTTTGTAATAAAAGTGAAAGAAAAGTAATTTCACCTTTGTTTTCTTTTTCCACTGTGCACTAGTTCCAATCCTGTATAACCTCTTTGAAAATATTTGCTCCAACGCCAAATCTTTGACATTTCTATTATTGTAGTCCTTGTCATGAATATCTCACAAGCAGGAGTGCTTTTCAACAGCCAATGTTAGTTCTTCTGCTTCACACATTGTCCTGATTCGATGACGCACGTCATTTCACGGTTCTGGATGGAAATTTCCGACTTTGAACGGTACATTACAAATGTATGCCAGTGGTGCGTTCCTAGGACGTCACCAGGATTTATATACTAAGTGACATATAAATCCGAACACCCAGTTTACATGGTTTTATTTTAGTAAAAGTTGGTGAATGTATTTATCGTACTGTAAATAACAAGTGAAAAAATTTTCAGCCTTATCAGTTGGACATTCCGGTTTTTATACTGCTTTTTTTTAATTCACTAACGCTCTAAAAATGAATATTTCAGCCGCAGTAAAGAATCAACGTTGGCGGATTTTGGTTCTTGACATCCTACGATCGGTTACCATGCCTAGAGTACGGAGACCTGTACGTTTTCGTCAACTTAGTGAGTTTGATAGGGGCCGTATAGTGGGACTTCGGGAAGCTGGACTTTCTTTTCGGGCAATTGCAGTTAGAGTGCAAAGAAGTGTAGACACTGTGGTTAGGTGTTGTCAGGCATGGCTTCGAGAAGGCCGTACGCAAAGAGCAAGGGGCACTGGACGCCGCCGCAGAACAACAGACCGTGAAGATCGCCGCCTAAGATTATTGGCCTTAAGAGACCGTTTCTCCACTACCAGGTCCATTGCAAATGAATGGTTTGCAGAACACGGAAGACCTATTGGCATGCGAAGTGTTTACGAATGAGAAGTTTTGGCTTGTTTTCATACCGGCCACACTGGGTCCTCCCTTTAACTCGAGACCACCGACGTAATCGCCTTGAGTGGTGCAGACAACGGTCACTCTGGGATCAGAAATGAAATAGTATTGTCTTTAGTGACGAGTCTCGATTTTGTTTAGGCATGCACGATGGTCGTGCCAGGATTAGAAGGCGACGTGGTGAAAGGAGGAATCCACAGTTTTTTGTTGAAAGACATATTCATCACACTGTTGGAGTTATGGTTTGGGGTGCTATAGCTTATGGTTCCAGGTCACCTTTAATCTTCATCAGAGGTAACATGAACGCGCTGCGTTATATCCACGAAGTTCTAGAATCCCATCTTTTACCCTATCTTGACACCCTGGCAGATCCAACTTTCCAACAAGATAATGCCCGACCACATGTTGCAAGAGTCACAATAGACTTCTTTCAACATAATGATGTCACATTGTTATCATGGCCACCAAGATCTCCCGACTTATCCCCAATTGAGCACGTGTGGGATATGATGGGTAGGAGATTGCTCAATTTGCAACGTCCTCCTCAGACTCTAGAAGCACTTCGAGAGGAGTTGGTGGTTGCCTGGAATGAGATACCACAGGAGGACATTGACCACCTGATCAGAAGCATGCCTAGGCGCGTTGGAGAATGCGTAGCACATCAGGGTGCATCCACACATTATTAAAAGTCAAAGGGCTTTAAAGCAGTGCAATCATTTTGAAATTTTTATCATTTACTTATTATGCTTCATTAAGTACTTATACAAAATTTTATTAAAATAAAACCATTTAAACTGGGTGTTCGGATTTATATGTCACTTAGTATATGTTCCGTTTTTACGAACGCATGGGCTGGCTTCCGAAATGTACGTGAAGAATGTGTTCCGTTCGGAACAACAAACGAACGTGTGCGGCAGTCAATGTATTTATTAGCGTTTGATGAATTCGGGTCTCCGAATAAGGAAAACGAATTCGGAAATCGAATGCGGAAAACGAATGTATGCGGCCAGCCTAACTATTTATATTTTCATAATAACTCTAGTTTTATGAATAGCGACTAAAAAAATAATTCAAATATATATAATAATTGCATTTTTTGTTAGTATCTTAATTTTTATATTGATCTTATTCCAAGTTAGTTAGTCATACTTGATTGTTGGACTTTCTCTTGCAGTAACATAAACTCTCCTATGCTTGGAAATCATTTTCTTCTTTTTCGTTCGATTTGCTATTAAAGCGTGTTTTTTATTTTTTTTTTCAACTGCAATTCATTAGATTACAGATGAAACATCTAAGATCATAATAATTGAATGAGTGAACCGAGTAATTTGAAATTGCCATCATTTTAAATTTGTGTGTTGATATTTGTTGGGAAAATTTGTATTTTGCCAGGTAATGCTGGGATAATCCCGATGAATCCCAACCATCTGGTAACTATAGCGCAGTATCACGAGGTTCGCATAATCAATGTGAGTGGAGGGCGCATATTTCATAATTTGCTTCAATTCTGAAGTCGGTGCTGAGAATGAGGTTGTAATAATACAGAAATCAGTCGTTGTTGATTGCCAAAGCGCGGATCCTAAGATTTTACCTTTCATGTCATCCTAAGTATAGATCTGCCATCTGAGGAACCAGACATTTTATGAGAGAAGAAAGAAGAATAAATGAGAAAATAAGGGATATTTACAAATGGAAAGCGGGGATCGACAGGAAGTTCAGAAATAATTCGACATAATTGGATTACGCTAGTAGGCCAAAAGAAACAAGCAATAAAATGAAAAGTTGCAAACTTCACTGAAATATTTTATAGTATTTTACTTGAACGATATGCTGAGCGCTCTCCAAAGCTGCTTAACTCATATTCAGAAGGATACCTCCAGAATTCTTTCGATTTTCTAATTTTCCCTTTCTACTCCATACTCCAATTGAAGGGCAAGTATTGTAATCGCTGAAAATTCCGGAAATGAGATACGTTTTTTTAGATGTTACTTGACGCATACATCACGAAACAACAAAATTTCAACACATGCCCTCCTCACTCTATGCAAGGCCCAGATAAGACCTGGCATCGAGTATTGATCACGCGTTTAGGGTGCTGCCGTCCCGACTTATTATTATTCACGCTCGATGCTGTCCAGAGGAGGGCTGTACGACGTTGCACAATTGATGACTCTTCTCTAACATACTGTCTCAGAACCCTTTCGCACCTTCGGGCACCAACAGGCTTTGCTCCTCAGAGCTCCATGATGCTGCCGCTCGATCTGCCTGCCAGATAGACCCGCCTGACTTCGGCCTTCCATCCTAACCGTGTTGAACTTCGTACATCCAGAACTGGCTGATACGATCGCTTGTTTGTCCAGGGAGTGTCGGGATTGTGGAGCAATCTACAAGAGGAGGCTTTTCCAAGCTCTTAGACCTTAGACAGTTCAAAAATCGGATATACAAAATTTCTTTGGGATCCTTATAGCAGCCGCGGTGTCCTGAAATTTAGGCTTCTGCCTGCGCGGCTGCTTCAGTGTAAAAAAGAACTTAATACTATGCCAAGGACAATAATGCTTTACAGCTTTTCAAAATCGATGAAGTCGTGGCGGAGCTGCTAGCTACAGGCGAAAGAACAAAAATGTCCCAAACTTCGTTTTCAGGAGTTCCTGCCGATTTTTTGATTTTATTTAAGTTATTCTACGCACCTTACATACGTTTGCCCTTAAGACGTATAATGATAATGAGAAGTATTTACAACTTAAAACTGCCTCGAGCTGGCCGATGTTGCGGATGAGGTCGCAACGTTGTCAAATGGGCGAGGACTAGGGACTAATAATTGTATGTGCCTATTCGACTGACTTGATATACTTAATCATGTTCATGGTTTACTTTTTTCTAAGAGGGGCCAATTTGCCGAACATAATATTTGTGACCGCGTTGCACGGGAAGTGCGGAATCAACCTGCTCGACGACATTAGAAGAAAGAATTGATGTTCTGTATAAGCAAATGCTTATTCACCCTCTCCATGAGAGATTCCATTTTATTTCAGACAGTATTGAATCGCGTGAAACTTTGAAATCCTGACAATATGAAAAACGATCTCACTCATTTCCGTCGGTCTGTCTATCATTCGTCCAATAAAAATTACTTCTACGTATTTTGGATTTTTTCCCTGCTTGTTTGTTTGTTTAAGATTTATTTAGCATGATTGCTACAATTACATTCTAAAAAACTAAACAATTACATAACATATGGACATTCAGAAAAAAAACAAAATTTCCATGAAATATTCCTTCAATTTTCTTTTAAATATCTTTAAATTACAAGTAGACCTTATATCATTATTTAGTTTATTAAATTCCAGTAATCCTTTCTGAAATATTGATTTGCTGGTTATATTACTATTGCAATTTTGTAAATGAAAATCTATATTTCCTCTTGTATAAAAATTGTGGTAATGATTATTCAATTCTATGTAGTGTTCTAAATGTTCTGGCAAATGAAGATTTTTTATTTTAAATATAATAATAAGAACCATATATGATATGAAATTTTTTATATTCAACCACTGCAATTCTTGTAACATAGATTTTATTTTGGTGTACTTATTTTTATTCAATATTATTCTCATAGCTTTATTTTGCAATACTTCTTTGGCAGTGAACAAGAAAGTTGAACAATATAGTAAATGCGGTAGAATAATTGTATTATAAGCTATTTTCTTGGAATAGGTACCAAGACTATGAGAAGCCCTATAAAAGTAATTTGTTTTTTTTGGCAATTTTTGGAATAATGTATTCATAGTGATCCTCAAACTTTAGTTTACTATCAATATATATACCTAAATATTTAATTGATTTTCAATTATTTCTCCATTTATCCTAACTGTGATAGTATTTTCATTTAGGTATTTCCCTATTAGCATACATTTTGTTTTAGAAGTATTCAATTTTAGTTTATTTACATTTAACCAATTTACGATTTTTAGAATTAAGCATTTTTAAAGCACTGTCTATATTTTCATCTGATATGTATATTAATGTATCATCTACAAATATCTGAAGTTTACAATAATCTAAAATATTACAAATGTCATTAATGTATAAAATAAATAGTAATGGACCTAGTTTACTACCTTGTGGTATACCAACAGAAATATTTTTTGATCCTGATAATGTAGATCCAATTTTGGTTTTTCGACTTCTGTCAATTAAACATTTTTGTAGAATTTTGAATACAGATCCTTTAAATCCGTAGTGATGCAATGTTGTAAGTAATTTATCCCTGTCAATAGTCTCAAAAGCCCAAAAACACTGTTACTGTATGTTTCCGATTGTCCATACATCCTCCAGTCCTCTAAAACCATTTGTGTTGCCGTTTCAATTCAGTGTTTCTACCCTTATGATTAATTTAAGATTTTCTTTTGTCCACCTGTGTACTGTTTTTGTTGATGAGGAAATGTGTGTTACAGATCCAAAAGCTGTTCTCCTGGCTCAAAAGGTCACAGAGACAGAAAACTGGACTCGTACGCCAACGATCTCAATGACAGCTTCAAGATAAAGAACACGAATGTAGTAGCAGCACAGTCTCCAAAAAAGAAAGATAGTAAGTTTTCTCTACGATCGCCATTGATCAAAAGAGAAACCAAAGTGCAAGTTGATAGAGATAGGTTGAATAAGGTTCACTCTTTGGATGGGACTCATGTTTAGGTGTAACTAGTTGGTAAATCTGACCAATCGAGTAATCAAGCAATTGTTGAAGTGAGATTTGTAACTATTAGTTAAAAGATTAAATCAATAAAGTTGGACCAAAATTGATGCATCGTCCATGTCAGTATTATATTAGATTCTTAATATTTATTTCTGTACTTAGAGAAGGATTCAACAAATTCTTTTGTCCTGCAATTATACAATAGCCCAGTCATAATGGGATTTAAAATCACAAGTTAAAATTTAATGTGTTGATAATTTTCAGCAATAAAAATCTTAAGCAGTTTTTTCTCAAGTATTTTATAAATGTATAAGTATCATAATGTGAGTAAAAGTTTTTTTTATTATTTTGGCTACATCATATTACAGAATAAATTAATTTTGACTGTACAGATTCAAATTCACTTTACATTTTTCATATTTCTAGCCTTTTTTACTCAATTCCAATTTATACTATCATTATTTTCTGAAGCAGACGTACTAGTAGATTTTATGACATCGTCTGTGTTATTGTGGTAAATCAAAAAAAACATTTTAAGAGAAGTTGATGTAATATTTTTCTAACATAAAACTATTGACTTTGAGTATAAAAGAGAGTAAGAAAGGTGAACAGTAGAGCAGCATAACATTTGTTCTGCAGAAAATGCACAACATTGTGATGTTTTAGAATTTGATGTTTCCATTATCAAATACTTTAGATTATAATTACGTTAATTTTATTGTCATGGTAAACTTATTAACAATATATGGAATATGTATGTGTAATGAATGTATTTTTTTAAGCATGAAACAATAAACTTATGTTCAAATGTTATGTACAATATTATTTTATTTCAGGACCCCCTTCCGAGTATACATATTAGTCTAGGTAAGTTTTGCTCAGCTGCTAAGAGGACAGTTGGTCTGGCCCCTCTAGCTCTCAGTCAAAAATCATATTTTTAGGAACTTATTAGCTTCAGCTGTGCAGCAAAATTGACAAAAGGTAGAGTGTCCATGTCGCTGGATAACAACATAGTGAACATAGTGACGTAGAAATAACGTCATTATGACGGCCTAATGTCACAACCAATTGACGTCATTATATCACGTCGTAGTACGTTGTATAAAAGACCAAATACAAAGTCGATATGACGTCTCTATGACGCGGAGATGACGTCTATCTGAGGTCTATATAATAATCGATCGCGCGGTGTATTCAAATCCTCTAACGTCCAATTTCACCAACAACAGTCCGTTATTCTCCACCTATAGGGTAACAGCCCGTCAAATACAGCGAATGAGCTTCAAGTTCCAATCAACAAAGTTGCACAACCAATAGCTATGAAATGTTGAAAACAAAATATTGTCAAAGTATGAGATGACATCTTGTCATTGAAACATCACCAGCTTATTGAATATTAAGAAATTACATATTCAGTCAAAATTTAAACAAATGTTTGATTTTTGAATAAAATTCATGTTTTAATTACCATTGTTGATTTTTTATTCATGATAATATTATTTTCTTCAATTGATATGCGATTTTACTGATTCAAGATCATCTACTGGGTGTTTTTTCCTATAAACCTCTTGCAGATAGCCATTAAGTACCTACTTGATGACAGGCTCTACCAAAAGATATTGCTCGTTTCCAAACAACCATTCATTTACTTGCCGTTCATCAGAACCATTATGGCACAGATTGATATTCCCACAAAACCATTCAGGTTTTTTGATATCCATACATCCATAAAGTTGAATATTTTTCGTTGTTCAGGAACTGAACAAACATCCACACTATATTCACAGCGATTAATAAATTCCCAAATATACGCCTTAAAGCTACCATGAAACCTAAAACCTGCAAAAAAAAACTACAAATTTGCCATATTTTTCTTTTTTCACGAGTACACATTCTAGGTTATATTTATATTAGACATTATTTGACTACAGCTGATAATTGCATTTCAAGGAGTGACACATGTGTGGGATCTGTCAACTCTTGGTACCAGTCACAAAACATATTATACTCTGAAGGTTTAATTCCATACTATTCAATGACAACACGGTGACTTGTGTGGTCATCAGCGGCCATTTTGTGAGGGTGCGACAGGGTTGCCAGATTGTGCATTAATATCCTGTTTCACCCTCCTGGTCCCAGTGGAGTAAGTTCCGCCAACTGTTGCTATGCTTTATAAGACTATTGACATTTTTGCAAAATCATTGCACAACACTTGAAAAAATGCAAATGAAAATTTAAAATTATTTCCTTGACACCGAAATATAGCTCCGTCAGTACCTTGGGTTATACATCTTGACAGTAGAGATGTTAGATACGATCCTATATTTAGTAGTATCAAGTATCAAGTATCAATACATTTCACGAATAACGTCATCTTTTGATCCGGACTGTGTCAGAAAGAGTGACTGCCATTTGGCTGCGACATTACCCTGCCAAATCAGACATATCTTTCATCATTTTCAAAGAAATTGTACAAAATCTTCAAATTAGTGAAGTTAGCGATTTTCACTTCAGACATGCCCAAATCATCAGTTGCTGCCGTGATATTCATCCCGACCACTGCATCCCCACGGCTAGGCGACCTGTATGTTAAATTTGTATTGATAGGGCAGCGGGTTATGCTATAAATCATATGTCACAGTGTTTGTGCACTGATTGCAATGGTTAGATGATACCAAAAATATTTTCATAAATAGGAGATCTTTCCCATTCCGGATCGAACAATCTACCAAAGATGCTTATAATCATGATACCTAACCTGTAAAAGATTCATTTCGCACCCTCCACCACGGGACATGATCGTCGCTGGACTTGGCAACCCTGCGAGTGTCAGATAGATATCCCCGCCAGTCAAAAAAGAAAAATAGATAAACAATAAAGTTTATACTAGTTTTTTTTGATTTTTGGACCTAAAAGCCTGATCTGTGAAACATTTTTCATAATTTTTTGTCTATGTCCATAGTAATCATCTGTGTTTTAGGATGGAGAGAACATAATGTTTTGATTGCTTTGAAGAAATTCATTGTCCCATAAATTAATAAATGATTACTATTATGACGTAAAGGAAGATGAGGAATTGGATGGAATGTATTTTATATTCTACTTTCTTGCAAAATACAGACAAATCCACACTATTCAACAGGTATGTAATGATAACTCTCGAAAGAAAATCGACCTATTATTGGCCGCATTCCCATTCGCTGAGGGGGATAACGGATTGTTAAATGTAAACCTATAACATATATCAAAATACATGAAAGTTGCCCTGTTTTTTCTGTACAAAAGCATCATGTTGGAATCAAAAAGTGGTCTTGTTTATAATACAGTCGAATTTTCACGATTTTATTCAATATTTCAATAGAAATCACCAATATTCAGAGACCTTTGACAGCTTCCGTCAAATTGCATTTCGATAAGGTATTTTCCCATTGGTCCATAATATTATTGTTGGTGAAATTGGCCCTAAGAATGTTATAATGACGCCCCGCAAGTAGTGAGTTCAGGAGAAGTAGAAACCTACCACTCTTTAAGCATCTCGTTCCGAGATGTTCTTATCGCCTCCGCAATTTTTTCATCATTTGTACAAAGTGTATCGAAATGGTTAATAAACAACTAAAAAAAACATCATTTGATCTCAAACACATTCCAGTCTTCCGATGGTTCAGAATTTGTTGACACACAATATACATACCGTAAACACGAAGAAACCATCGTGATGTCGGTCAAACCCACTGATTAAAACAAAATGGCCTAATCATTGCCAAACGGCGAACACGCATGGAGCTTGGGCATCGGTCGAGCTCACCGCCAAGCACAATCGTACTTCTTCGCTGATGATCGGCTGAATGATATACCGTTCCAAAATTTGAATGTTTGCCGCGCTTGATTACAAGTGTTGTTATACAGAGGAGTTTCTAATAATTTTTTTCTTTACGAGAATAAAACATGATGTAAAATAGCAAATTAAAGACATGGAACATTATTATTAGAAAAGTCATATTAACAAGATATTTTTGTTGTTTTTTTATTTATAACAATAAAGTAGTTATTAGTATTTGAATATACAGGGTCTGCGAAATATTGGGAAATCTCAAAACTGGAGATACTACAGACCAAAATATGTGAATTGACCTAAACATTTCGCAGACTCCCTGTATAGTTTACCTTACTGTTCATTAAAAGCCTATATCTGCTTTGCAGGTAAGTGTTGATTTTTCAGTACTGACTGACCTAAAAAAACACGTCAAGATGTCATATTTCAGTCAATGACGATTCCGAAAACAAGTGACCGAATAATGACATCATTTTGGCGTCATCATGTTCACTGAGAAGTCATACCTGAATATGTGTTTTGCTCCTCAAAGCCATTAAACTTACCATTGATTAAACAACTTTGATACGAGTAATAATATCTACATGGGTGGTCTAGGTCATTATAGATTTTATTAAAACCGGTTAAAAGTTTACTTTGATTACGATAAAAATCTATTTGATGTCTTAAATCTGAAGAAACCCGAGAACCTGTACGTGTTAGAAGAAAGCATATTCTTCGAACTAGAATTTTTCAAGAATCTAAAGGTTTATTTTTATGTGCATGCTTTCAAGAGTGAGCGTACTCAAACATTATTAAATCCAGAGTTAGTAAAACACCAAATATGTGCGCGGATCTATACTACAAGGCAACAGTTTAGAAAAATGCTAACGTTTAATATTAAGTGAATACCTAGAATTTTAAAATCTTCAATGAATACGTGAATATGGAAATACTTATTCAGCAACAGACTCACCTTATTACGCTTGTCACAAGTATGAACTGCTTCAAAGAGACATCGTTTGTTTTTGGCAAGTACAGTTTGCCCTCATGGTATGTTAGAGACCTTAACATCCCTTATCTAACAGACCACATCAAGCAACTGGGGCAGCAACGTTATTGTTAAATGGAATCGCACAACAACCCTTTGTTCGCAAGCACACGCGTGATTATTTTTCACGGAGCTACCTCAAAAACATGCCTGCAGAAGTAAGCACAATATCGTCCAGGGATCCAAGACAAGAATCAAGAAATAAATTGCTACAATGCGAAGGTTCAATAACTCCGAGAATGCACCTACCCCCAAAACTTTTTGAAAAGCGAGGGGTAGCAGAATTTTTCGGGGTTGGGGCGAGGGCGGGGCTACTGTAAATGCCAAAAATAAAGTATTATTTTTCATACGCACTTGTCTCTCGTACACATTGAACTCAAGCCGTCATTCAAATTTGGTTTTCCCTGTATATGGATGAAGTCATAGTAGGTAATGCTACTTATTTTTGAAGCTCGTGTAAATTGCAGCAGTTATGAGTAAAAAAATTAACATAGCTTTCAGAGCGTCCCAAAGTTTGTTTTTAGATGCTTTTGGACATTTTTAAGGGTGATCAAATATCTTTGTGGAGAGACAACAATTTTTAGAAATTCCGAAAATCTGCTTTCATCATCGTTATGGAGTTCAAACATTTTGTTTATTTAGCAAGGTTTATACTGACTCATGAAAAATTTGAAAATAGGTATAGGTGGATGTTTGGAAAGTCAGTAAATAGATGCCACTATTTTTTCCGTTTTTTTCTTATCGCGCCATCCATAGCGGTTTTAGTGTTTCAAAATTTTCAGCCTCCGGAGACACTACCACGCTTGATACGCAAAGTTGCTTCACAGAAGTCCTAAAATATTTTAATTACTTCTAATTTCGAAAAGCTTCTTTCAGCCACCAACAAGGCGTTGAACCTGTTCTCGCCGAAAGCTCTGACAT